TGTGTGAACGCAGTTTATGCTTGAGAAATATGGCCAGCAGCAAAAAATTGTGACTAATCCCATCTCTCTATTTCAGGGTTGTTTTATCTTTTCACTGGTGAAGTACAGGCCGCTCACCTATAACAAGCTTTACAAATATCCTGATTGGTCTGTTGGATTGGGTTGGGTTCTTGCACTCACTTCTATGATTTGCATCCCGATGATGGTCGTCATCAAAATCATCCAATCAGACGGCTCCCTGATAGAGGTGAGTAGGTCATTTACTGTATATAAAACACGTGCAAAGCAACACAACATACACATCTAGTGGCATTATTGATCATTCTATTATATTAGGAAAGTACAATTTATCTGTGATGATTAGGGAAGTTAGGGAAACATTTGCGTCCTATAGAATGATTTGAAAGAAATTAATACTTTTATAGAAAAATATTTGTAGAAATTATATATATATATATATATATACTGTTTATTTACAGTGTAGTGTGATTTAAAAAAATAACTAATTAATCGCACAAGTAATTTTTAGAAAAAATATTTATAAAATATATAAAAGTAATTAAAATATATATATATATGTATATATTAGTATATATTGTTATAATATATATAGTATTTATGAAATATTATAACTTATTTATTTATTTTAATTTCATTTACATTTTAGGAAAAAGTTACTTAAGATTTTCTATGTCCCCTCTATAATACATGTATACTAAATTTGGCAATTTAAAAATTTTCCAAGAACAGAAATGTATCAATCAAATTTTAATTCATTTTCGTATTGTATCCATAGATAATTTAGTCATTTTAGTTTTAAAGATGTATTATAATAACATATGGCTTTTTCTTCTTATTTAATTTTTATTGTAATTTTATTGAACTTTTTCTTAATTATTCTCTTCATTTTTAAGAAAAAAGTTAAATCAGACTTGTCTACTTCCCTCTATAATTTTGAATTCATAACAATTTGTTCTTTTTTTGTTTTTGATTGAATGTGACGGCTGTTTATATTAAATCCGAAATATTTTAAAAATGCCTTTTACTTTTAAAATAAATTTATGACATCATCCATCGTTCAAATTCTAGGCCATAAAAATAATTAGCAGCTATCATGTTAAATATCATGTATCACTGCATTTATCGTTTTGATAATAATCTTGAAAATGCACTCAAATCAATGAACTATCCGTGTTTAGCGGATCAAAGCGGTGGCGGCGCCCGTTAAAGGAGGCGCGAGCTCTCGTCCGAAAGAGTACGGCCTGAAGAACAGCGAGCTGCTTCACCCTCTGGACCCCAACGGCATCCACGTCTTCACCAAACACACCCACACCATCGTAGAAACTACTATGTGAGACTCTCTAAGAGAGATTCCCATATTCCCCTGCTCCTGTCCTCTCCTATGGGAGATCCCGTTTCATGTGTTGTCCCTCTCCCTTCCCCTCTGTTCCTCTCTCTCGCTCTGCACTGGTGCGTTTTTACGAAATGATCTCTTATATTCATATATCTTTTTTTGCCATGTAGGATTTGTAATCACTGGTATTAGCATTAATGCTGATATTGTAATAACCTGATGTGAGCTTTAGCTGTCTGGGGCGGTTTGATTAATCTGTATTGCAGTTTCACATTAAACCGTGTCCTAATCAGGAGCGACACAGGATTTACAGCGCATCGCTTTACTATCTCTATCAAATCAATCCGATTTTTGGTCCTAAACAGTCACGATGAGAGATTTTGCTTTTCGATTTCGGTCCTGTCACTCTAGGTAGCCCCGCCCACAGTGAAATCCCATTGGTCCAAAATCGTGTTCCGCATAAATTTACATAAAACATTTTATATTCTTATTGCGCTTCACTTTCTCTAAGGAGTTGTATTGTGGAAATCATGTTGCACCTGATTAGGACACAATTCATCAGCAGAGAGAGCGAGTTTTAGCTTCGTTTTTAGGAAAAAAAATTAAAACAGCAGCGAACTAAATGTGACATTTAGCTCCGTCCGTCAGTGGTTGTGGCTGTAACTCTTGTACGATGAGGTTCTTAAATGTTCTTGAAGAAAAATGAATGTACCTCCGCTTTGGGCGGACGCTGTGCACAGTCATGCACACACACACATGTAAGACATAAGCAAACCTTAACGCTCTGTCCTTCAGTCTCTCCTTGAACTATAGTGATCACTGCCATCGCACACATCGAGTTCATTTAACACTGTAGGCAGCTCTGTTCACTAATATAAATATCGTTTGATGCACTATTATGAGCGTCGTTCACTGTAAGCTGATCCGAGAGCTGATGATTATCAACAGCCGTTTGGCAGCACTTTACTAGCTCTTCATGTACAGCGAGATCCGAAAGTCTGAGACTATGGCTGTGTTCGAAATCACCCCCTATACACTCATTCACTCCCCACTAATACAGTCTACTAGAAGGAGTGAGAGAAAACGAGGACGACACCAAGTTGCATAGTTTGTGCTTGCTGTTTAATGAACAAAACTAGCAGCTCCAGTAGTAAGATGAAAATACATATCTTGAACCTTAACTAAACAATTTAATAACAATTTAAAATGGAATTGATACCTGTATGATATCATGCTGTAGCCACATTGGTCCAGCGGTTTGGAAAATGGATGGATGGATGATTCAGCTGCGGCGCCATCTTCTGGTCAGACACGGGAATTCATTCAGTGCATTATGGGTATTCTCTGGTGCATTGTGGGATTGAATTAGTGCACTCGATTACGTCCATTATGGTTTTCGGACACCACTACAAATGGCTGTCTCAAATAGTGCACTTTTTAAGGATATAGGGAGCGATTTCGCACACAGCCTATATATATATATATTTTTTTTTTTCATTTTACTTAACATTTTCTTAAATCTTAAAACTTTTCTACTTCCCCCTCTGTAATAAAAAAACTGTTAACTTCAGGGAATTTCTACTTTTTTCAAGAAAAGAATATGATCAATCTTATTTTAATCATTTGGTATTGTATACATAGACACTGGTTTCCCCCCCCCCAAAATATTTGAGATATGAATTGATAAAAAAGGATTTTTATTTTTAGATTTAATGTGAATGCTGATGAAATGTGTGTATATTTATTTATCAGATTGTTTTCATTGTGAATTGTATCAGAATCAGGGGCGGACTTAACCAATAAACAAGGTAAGCTTAGGGCCCCAACAAATACCCAACGGACCTTGTAAACCAATTTGACAATGAATATTTGACATTTTATTTAGAAATGAAGAAAAAATGGTGCTTAATTTGGTGTGTTGGGGCCCCACACCAGGGCCCCCAAATCACTGTCCCTGATCAGCATAAGCTGACATGAACAAAACCTGATGAGCTAAAGCACCTTGCGCTACGATGTACAAAGAGTCACATGATCAATGTCGCTGCTAATGACCTTGCTTATGTAGATTTTGACTGCCACACGTTTCAGACTTTTGGAGGCCGCTGTACAGTATATCACATGATTCAGCACAGCCAAACCGCTCGTCATCATAAAGCCATCAGCTTTCAGAATGAGCGCAGGAAACCTGGGCTTTATGTCCTTGCACAGAGACACTGCCATTTCCCTCTCTGGACTAAAAATGAGATTGTTTCTTTAGCCTTAAAACGTCTAAATAAATATTCAAGCTAATCACCAACAGCAAAGAACTGCCCTGATAATGCCTCTGTGTCCTTTACCTTTGACCATCCAGGCCTCCAAAAACACCGTCCTCATGGTCGACCCTCTCTAACCCCAATGTCTTTGGGCTGCGTTCGAAATCACATACTACCCTACTGTATAGAAGGCAAAAAACAGTATGTCTGAATTTACAGCACTCATAAAAGAGTAGGTAAAAAGTACCGAGATCACCTACTAGTTCCGGTGAGATCCTGATGTGTGCATACGATGGACACTGTACTATCCCATGAGGCCACGGGGGAGGATTTGTGAATGCGACATAACTAATAATGACAACAGGGCGAATGTAGTACATTCATACTTCAAGCATGGAACGTACTTTTAAGTGCTCAGAAAGTTAGTATTCATTCAAAACAAGCGATTTCGGACGCAGCCCAGATCATCCAACCTGACCTAGGACCCTTGAACCCTCACCGATCATGAGCTATCCGTTAACTAAGCAAGTGTTTGCTCATTTGTAGTATTTTCATTTATCTGAAATTTGCCTTTTTGTATTTAACCATTTTATACTGTACCTGATGTGATTGGTCATTTGCCTATATTTTTTCTGAATGTATTCAGAAATTTATATTTAAACGTTGGTTAGTTGTCGGCCTCAAAGCAACTAGCAGTGTGCAATATTTGTAAACTACAGGCTTTGTCCATTTTTATTTATAATTTCAGCTGGAAAATACTGTAATATGATGAAAACAAGAAAATTTTTCATTCACATTTTGCTGTACTATAAGGTAACTGGATTAAACAAAAACAAACGAAAAAATCTTGTAAAACCAAAGTAGTTTTGTGACAGACCATTCTAGATGCTTATTGCATCTTTCAGACAAAATAAAAATGTCCAATCTTTGGTATGTGTTGTGTAAAGTCTGTTCAGAATCGTGTTTACCTGCTTTGTTAATGATCTGGACCAGGACAAGCTCACATGGAAATATTCTTTTTTCATATATATCAAAGATTAAACTTGATTATGACTTTGAACACAATTAAGCTTAAGCGACTCACTCTTTTACAGCTGATTTAACACATAAACAAGAGTCATTTATAACCTAAATATGACTTGGTTACAATAAACAATAAAAAAATTCGTCATTTTTGCAGTCACATCCTCCGCACATTCGAGCTCTCAGGACCGTCATTTAGTCAGGTTATTTGAACATTGATTCTATTCGCATTCCTACCTACCGGACCATTTCATCAGCGAGTTTTAGCTTGATTAATGAGGCAATCGGATTAGTTAGCCAAGTTCACGAAAAAATAAACCATTCAGTGCAATTAGTGAACCAATTCAACGCTCGAGCTCCGAGTCCGACTCCGAACCGAGGATCATACTTAGACAGTAAAAGAGGTATGGGCTGAAATATGTGCCACCAGAAACTGAATTTGAACCATTTATATTTGAATTTGAATGGCTAAACTTGAATAATTGCATTGAAAAACTGAATTTAAATCACATAATTTGAAATTGTATTGTTTAATTAAAATTGAATTTATTCAAAAACTGAAACTGAATTGTAAAATTTGAAATTGAATTTATTTGTTTGGAACTGAAGTCCAATAAAATTTGATCCTCACTGAAAATTAAACTCTCTATATATCTTCACATTCAGTTCTCAAATTCAATTTTAAGTTACTGAGACAGACATCCAGGTAGTTAGAGGATGAAGGAAGAGCAATCGAGCGCAGATCGATAGATAAAGTTCATTGGCGCACAGGACTCCTCTTAAGAGATCAGCTTGCCCTAGTGTACTGGGCTAATCTTATGGGACATAATCAGCCAGTATTAAGAAACTGTCAAGAGCGACTGAAAGAGGGAGTTAAAAGCTTGGGTGGTCTATAAAACAAAAAGTTGAGAATATGGGGTTAAGTGAACTTAATATCTGTACTTCAGTACCATACTCTACAGTTCCCCCTTGGACTTTTGAGGAACTAAAAGTGGATCTAGGATTACTTGAAGAAAAGCAGGAGAAGGAAGTGGACAAATGCAGAGTTCATAGATACATAGCAGAACATTACAAACAGGACATAATCATATTTACAGATGCTTCGAAAAGAACTGATAAAAGGAGTGGCGCATGTGGTGCCTGAATTGGGGCTGGCTGTAGGTAAAAGGCTAAATGATGATTTGGCTGTAATTACGGCAGAGCTTGTAGCTATATGGTTTGCCCTGTTATGAGTAATAGAAAAATAGTTATAGCATCTGACTCTAGTTCTGGAGACTCTAGACCCTTCCAGTACCACTGTCGTTTTTTGTTTTTTTTTTTGGGGTCGAAATTTTGAAATTCTCTGATCTTCTTGAGACTCTGGATTCTGATAGAGGGCCATGGGACTTAGGCCTGAGTGCAAAAATGGAGGCTCTAGACCCTTCCAGAGCTGAGATATTGAGATATTTATAATGGCATAAATGCTACGTGGGATCTCAATATCTCAGCTCTGGAAGGGTCTAGAGCCTCAATTTTTGCACTCAGGCCTAAGTCCCATGGCCCTCTATCAGAATCCAGAGTTTCAAGAAGATCAGGAAAAATTTCGACCAGAAAAAAAAACGACAGTGTTACCCCTTACGTTTTTTTTTTTGGGCGAAAAATTAAGTTTCTCCAATCTTCTCAAAACTCTGGATTCTGATAGAGGGCCATGAGACTTAGACCTGAGTGCAAAAATGGAGGCTCTAGACCCTTCCAGAGCTGAGATATCGAAACTCAAAATTTCGACCCGAAAAAAAAAACGACAGTGTTACCCCTTACGTTTTTTTTTTGGGGCGAAAAATTAAGTTTCCCCAATCTTCTCAAAACTCTGGATTCTGATAGAGGGCCATGAGACTTAGACCTGAGTGCAAAAATGGAGGCTCTAGACCCTTCCAGAGCTGAGATATGGAAACTCAAAATTTCGACCCGAAAAAAAAACGACAGTGTTACCCCTTACGTTTTTTTTCGTTTTCAGGCGAAAAATCAAGTTTCTCCAATCTTCTCAAAACTCTGGATTATGATAGAGGGCCGCGAGACTTTGACCTGAGCGCAAAAATGGAGGCTCTAGACCCTTCCAGAGCTGAGATATCGAAACTCAAAATTTCGACCCGAAAAAAAAACGACAGTGTTACCCCTTACGTTTTTTTTTTTTGGCGAAAAATTAAGTTTCTCCAATCTTCTCAAAACTCTGGATTCTGATAGAGGGCCATGAGACTTTGACCTGAGTGCAAAAATGGAGGCTCTAGACCCTTCCAGAGCTGAGATATCGAAACTCAAAATTTCGACCCGAAAAAAAAACGACAGTGTTACCCCTTACGTTTTTTTTTTTGGGCGAAAAATTAAGTTTCTCCAATCTTCTCAAAACTCTGGATTCTGATAGAGGGCCATGAGACTTTGACCTGAGTGCAAAAATGGAGGCTCTAGACCCTTCCAGAGCTGAGATATCGAAACTCAAAATTTCGACCCGAAAAAAAAAACGACAGTGTTACCCCTTACGTTTTTTTTTTTTTTGGGCGAAAAATTAAGTTTCTCCAATCTTCTCAAAACTCTGGATTCTGATAGAGGGCCCTGAGACTTTGACCTGAGTGCAAAAATGGAGGCTCTAGACCCTTCCAGAGCTGAGATATCGAAACTCAAAATTTCGACCCGAAAAAAAAACGACAGTGTTACCCCTTACGTTTTTTTTCGTTTTCGGGCGAAAAATCAAGTTTCTCCAATCTTCTCAAAACTCTGGATTATGATAGAGGGCCGCGAGACTTTGACCTGAGCGCAAAAATGGAGGCTCTAGACCCTTCCAGAGCTGAGATATGGAAACTCAAAATTTCGACCCGAAAAAAAAAACGACAGTGTTACCCCTTACGTTTTTTTTTTGTTTTGGGCGAAAAATCAAGTTTCTCCAATCTTCTCAAAACTCTGGATTATGATAGAGGGCCGCGAGACTTTGACCTGAGCGCAAAAATGGAGGCTCTAGACCCTTCCAGAGCTGAGATATGGAAACTCAAAATTTCGACCCGAAAAAAAAAACGACAGTGTTACCCCTTACGTTTTTTTTCGTTTTGGGGCGAAAAATCAAGTTTCTCCAATCTTCTCAAAACTCTGGATTATGATAGAGGGCGCGAGACTTTGACCTGAGCGCAAAAATGGAGGCTCTAGACCCTTCCAGAGCTGAGATATCGAAACTCAAAATTTCGACCCGAAAAAAAAACGACAGTGTTACCCCTTACGTTTTTTTTCGTTTTGGGGCGAAAAATCAAGTTTCTCCAATCTTCTCAAAACTCTGGATTATGATAGAGGGCCGCGAGACTTTGACCTGAGCGCAAAAATGGAGGCTCTAGACCCTTCCAGAGCTGAGATATCGAAACTCA